ATCTGCCATTGTTCTCCCTTTCCACAAACCGGGTACTACAGGACATGAAGCCTCCCACTATCGTCCCATTGCTCTTACCAGTGCAGTTTGCAAAGTGATGGAACGCCTGGTAAATAGACGTTTAGTGTGGTATTTAGAGACACACAACAATCTCTCCACTCATCAATATGGCTTTCATAAGGGCCGTTCTACCATAGACCCCTTACTACGCTTGGATACGTATGTTCGTAATGCCTTTGCGAATAACCAGTCAGTTATTGCCATATTTTTTGACCTTGAGAAGGCATACGACACAACTTGGAGGTATAATATTTTGGCCCATGCCCACTCCTTAGGCCTTCAAGGCAATCTACCATCCTTCCTTAAGAACTTTTTAACTGACAGACATTTCCGTGTTCGGGTTAATAATGTGCTCTCCCCGGACTTGATCCAAGCTGAAGATGTCCCCCAGGGATGTGCTCTGAGCACAACACTTTTTCTCCTTGCTATAAATGATTTGGCCTCTAGTCTTCCATCCAATATTTGGTCATCACTCTATGTTGATGACTTCGCTATTGCATGTGCAGGCGCTGACTGTCACCTCATTACAGTTTCTCTCCAACATGCGGTTGACTGTGTTTCCAATTGGGCCACCACACATGGGTTTAAATTTTCCAGTACCAAAGCTCACCAAATTACTTTCACTAGACGCTCTGTCATCTCCGATCATCCTTTGTACCTCTATGGCTCCCGTATCCCTGAATGTGATACAGTCAGGTTTCTAGGCCTCCTCTTTGACCGTAGGTTATCCTGGAAACCTCACATTACCTCTCTGAATGCAACTTGTCACAGCTGGCTGAACCTTCTTAAAACCCTTGCTCATCTTTCATGGAGAGCTGATCGTTGAACTCTCCTTCGCCTACATTCCACCCTCATTTTATCGAAACTTGATTATGGTAACCAGATCTATTCAGCGGCCTCTCCTGCTACTCTCTCTAGCTTTAACCCCATTCATCACCAAGGATTACGTTTATGCCTTGGTGCTTTTCGCTCTTCCCCTGTCGAGAGCCTCTATGCAGAAGTGAACGTTCCATCCTTTTCCGATCGCCGTGATGCCCATTGCCTTTGCTACTATGTACGTTCTCGTGATCTCCGCAATCCTTCCACTTATAGAATGGTCACCGATATTAGGAGACATTCTTTACTTGTTCGCCGCCCCTGTTTGCTCCGTCCCTTCTCCCTTCACCTACATTCGGTCTTGTCTTCTCTTCAATTACCACCTTTCTATGTTCATGTAGCATCTCAATTTTCCCTACCCCCCTGGGAAGTTCCAGCTGTTTGAGTCTGTTATTTCTTACTCCCTTGCTCGAAAGCCCAACTGTCTACTGTAGCTTCCCGCTCTCTTTTTCTTGACCACTTCCACTCTCATTCTCATGCCATTGCAGTGTACACAGATGGCTCTAAGTCTTCTGACAGCATAGGATTCATAGCAGTGTTTCCGGACAGCATCGTATGAGGGCATTTAGTACTATCTTCGGCTAGTATCATTACTGCTGAATTGTATGCCATTCTTGCAGCACTTATCCATATTGCATCTATGCCTATGTCATCATTTGTGGTTGTCTCAGACTCCCTTAGTGCTTTACAGGCTATACAGAAATTTGATACACCTCACCCCTTAGTCCTCCGTATCCAACTTTGGCTACGCCGCATCTCTTCCAAATATAAAGATATTGTTTTTTGTTGGGTCCCTGGTCATGTTGATGTACAGGGCAATGAACAGGCAGAGACTGCTGCGCGGTCAGCAGTACATGACCTACCAGTTTCATATAGAGGTGTTCTATTTACAGACTATTTTGCTGCAATAGCTACCCACCTTCACACCCGTTGGCAACAACGTTGGTCTACTCTGCTCGGTAACAAACTTCAGTCTATTAAACCGAGTATAGGTTACTGGCCGTCTTCTTGTCACCAGTGTCGAGGTTGGGAGACTACTCTCTCCTGTCTTCGCATTGGCCATACTCGTCTTACTCATGGTTATCTCATGGAGAGGTGCCCTGCTCCTCTCTGTGAGAATTGTCAGGTTCCATTATCGGTTAGCCACATTCTATTAGACTGCCCACTTTATCAATGAGCACGCAGAATATACCTCCAATGTCTTCGCTCTGCTGCTCTCTCTTTACCTTCCCTTCTCGCTGATGGACCCACCTTTCATCCGGACACTCTCATTGACTTTTTGACAACAACTGACTGACTTCACAAACTCTGATGATACCTTCAGCCCTTTCTACCTCAATCTCTTGCTGCCCTCTACCCCCGCACTATCCCCTCCCCCGCTGTTTTCTGTAACCTACTGATCATCCCTCCCCCCTTCTACCGCCCAATACCATCGCTTCCTTCCCTACCCTGCAGCACTGTATAGCCCTTGTGGCTTAGTGCTTCTTTTTTATTATAATAATAATAATGTGTGTTGAGGAACAAATGAGGAGAGATGCTGATTATAGAGACAATGATTATTAACTGGGGCCAGTTGGCTGAGTATAGCCGTTGCACCACAACAGAAAACAAGAATCCTCAGGGTAATCCAAAAAGTCACAAAATGAGCTAAAAGTGGTAGGGAGGTTTAATACTGATTAAATGAAAAGTGCTGTATTACAAGAGAGGTTTTATTTGTTTTAGGTTCATTCAACCCTTTCAGGGTCCACAGGCCCTCCCCGAGACTTGTACTAAGGGTCCCCCAAATTTCAAAAAAAAAAAAAAATTATTTTTTCTAATGAAAAGATAGAGAATCTTTACCCGATCATAATGACACCAAAAGTATGAAATTTGATGGAAAACTTACGGAATTGTGCGCTCGTGAAGTTAGCAGTCTCGACGATGTTTACGCATCGGCAATTTTGCCCAGTTTGAGCCCAGTTTTCGGCCAATTCCAGTGTACTAGTCGACAAAGATCATAACTATTTCACTAGAACTCCATTTTTTCTATCAAATGAGTACAAGAAACCACTCATTTATCGATTTCAACTATCCAATACAGTGGTCAGAATTTAGCAATTTTGCCAATCTCACACAAATTTTAAAAGATGCCAATTTCCGAATAGGGTCCAGAATAAACAAGAAAGACATTCCTGGCACTAAAATAACATTTCCTCTGTTCATTAGTCATGCCCACACGCCCCTCTTACATTCTTTTGCTTTTCACTTTGAATTTTTATTCTCACAAAAAAAAATAGAAGATTTACTGTTATGCAGACTACTGCATTAATGTAGAAATGGTATATATAATATCAGGCAACTGTGAAAGAATATTAGACTCACCAGTTGACATGTATTGGACGCATAGCATGATTTGTTTACTTTTGAACTTTGGTGAAAATCGAACATTTCTGCTAATTTGAGCTCAATTTCAAGTTACTTTTCATTGTAAAACCGGTCAAAATCATCTCAATTTCTGTAATATGTCTTTCGTTCTATAAAATGAGACCAGGAAAACTAGAATACAACAATAAATACCATACGAAAATACAGTGCAAAGTCACTGTTTTAATCTAAAAACACAGTCAAAGTTTTTTTTTTCTCATTACGCACTGTGTGCTGCAGGATTTTTTTATTCTGCGCACACTGACCACATAGACCCATTCTTTCATATGTAGGCCTACCAGCTTTCTCCCACTAGATTTGAGGCACTAGAATTTAGGCGTACTAGTACGTCATGGACACTGGTGCGTAAGCCATACTAGTACGGCCGAAACCCTGAAAGAGTTAGCCTGTAATATGCTCTGAATTATTATTATAATCAAAAAGCACTAAACCGACAAGGGTCATACAGCATCATGCCCTGAAAATCAGAAGGGTTACCTTCCTATAGGTGTTGTGAAATGTGAATTTCCAGATACAGTGGAACCTCGGTTTTCGTCATTAATTTGTTCCACAAAGTCTGATGAAAACCAAACTCGATGAAAACTGAAGCGATATTTCCCATAAGAAATAATGTAAATCCAATTAATCCCTCCCAGACACCCAAAAGTATTAACAAAAAATACATTTTGTAGAGAATAACTATAGTTATTCTCTATAAAAAAATATAAAGGACTAATGAAATGGATAAATGAACATGTAACATCACTTTTACCTTTATTGAAGACTCTTGTTGGCGTATGGAAGACGGTGAGGAGGGGAGAGGGAGGAGAGGTTATCTCTACCACCATCACTACCACCCTCTACCACAATCACTACCACCCTCCACCACCATCACAAGCACTACCACCCTCTACCACCATCACTACCACCCTCTACTGACGAGAAACAAATCCAGATTGACTCAGAACGTGTGGGATGCTCTGTGTTGGTGCGGGCGGACACGTTTGGTATGGCGGACCATTGTCAACTCGCTGAAAACTGAGGTGGTGAATGAAAACTGGGGCAAAATTTTGATGAAAAAAGTCATCGAAAACCAAATTCGATGAAAACCAGGGCAAATGAAAACCAAGGTTCCACTTTACAGAAAAATCCATTTGATGCATTTTTCTCCAGGTTTTTTCTTTAGAAGTTTTATCTCTAAATATTACTCTGATCAGGTTATCATTAACTTTCATAAGAGTGTAGAAAAATAAGATAAATTTGGATGTAGGAAAACCAGTGAGCACGTTTTGAATGAAATCCTATGTTTTGTTTTAAATTTTAGGGCCGAATTGTAAGTAAAAGAGAGTGGACACTGCAAAAAAATGTCATGAAAAAGTGAGGCTATTCACAAGATGTCCTTCAGTAAGAGCTTTTAAAAAGTGAATCATACTGTATATAGTATGCAGAATAATATATGGTAGTACTTTATTTATTTAAAATATGTATCTTAGTTATTGTAGTTTTCAGGTCTACATCATTTTAGAAATGTCCACTGTAGTCTTAGATTTTTGTGGAATTACATATAACATTTTTTTTTATTAAATCAAATGACAGTGTTCATGAGATTTGTATAAAAAGTTTTTAACCAATAAATACATTATATATGATATTTTTTCCAGATTTGGATCACAGTTCTTCATAACCTTGGGCGAAAACTTAGATTCACTGGATGCTGAGCATTTGGTATTTGGAAAAGTTGTTGAAGGGTTGGAGGTAATTTGTAAATTGAATCAAACATTGACTGATGATAAGAACCGCCCATATCAAGACATTCGAATCTCTCACACTGTTATTTTAGATGATCCATACCCAGATCCTAAGGAGGTCGAGTTCCCTGATGAGTCTCCAAAGCCCACTCGCGAAGTGTTTGAGTCAGATTATATTGCTGCTGATGAGACAATTGATGACACTGAAGGTAAGACCATGGTGGAAATACAGGAAGAAATTGAAGAAAGAGAAGCCAGAGCTAGAGCTACAATTCTTGAGATGGTTGGAGATTTGCCAGATGCTGACATGGCACCTCCAGAAAATGTTTTATTTGTATGTAAGCTTAATCCAGTCACAACATCTGAAGATTTAGAAATTATTTTCAGTAGGTTTGGGAAGATTAATTCTTGTGAGGTGATACGTGACAGAATAACAAATAATTCACTTCATTATGCATTTATAGAATTTGGTGAAACAAAATCCTGTGAAGATGCTTACTTCAAGATGGATAATGTGTTAATTGATGACCGAAGAATTCACGTAGACTTCAGTCAGTCAGTTTCAAAAATAAAATGGAGAGGGAAGGGACGAGGAGTTGAGTTCTTTGATGATAATGGCCAAAGAGTTGATGATAAGAAAGGTCAAAGGTACGATCCCAGCAAAGACCACAGCAACCAGTCAAGAAACAGGAATAAAAATGCTAGAGATTCACGGCACATAGATCATGGACAGCCTCAAGTATCAGAGAAGGACAGAAAGTCTCCTCAGAGGCAGCAGTCCTGTGAAGGCAATAGTAGAGATAAAAATGATGCAAAACACTTTTCCAGGAATGAGAAGAATGGCAGAGATGTGCAGGTAGACAGATGCAGAATGGAAAAACACAAGAAACATGAATCTTCTAAAAGAAGTCATGTTGAGAGTGAAGACAGTGATGGCTTACCAAGTGATGAAGAAGCAAGAGAAAAAATGCTAAGACACTTGAAGAAATCTCTTAAGAAGAAGAAAAAGAAACACAAGCATAATAGTGAGAGTGACACTGATGATTCAGATGAGAAGAAAAAGAAGAAAAACAAAAAGAAGAAAAAGAGGAAAAAGAGAAGTGAAAATGAGAAAGAATCTGATTCTGATTCAGAATCAAAGAAAAAGAGTAAGAAAGGTAAAAAGAAAAAGAAGAAGAAAAAGAAGGAAAATTCCTCATCAGATAGTCATGAGTAACCAGATTTGGCAATAAAACTTAAATATAGTACAATTCATGTTTTGATTTGGTATTCAACTTTTTTAAAATTTAATAAATAATTCATTATGTTGTGATTGTAAAAGATAATTGTTTTTGTTTTTTAATTTTGTTTTATATAAATAATAATCTCATAATACAATGCCTGTTGCAATGCATAAAAAGTTTGAAATTCTGTACTTAATGGCCAAATATTTTTTTCATTATGCAGAAGTTATAATAAGTCATTTGTAAAATCATTAGATAATTGTGAATAATAATACTGGAATTGATCATGTTGTAAATTGCCATAGCTATTTTATTGATTGAAAAATGTACTGCTAATACAATGTTTGTGTTATGTAAATACCCTTTTTTTTTAACCTTCACTGTTGACACTATGACTGCTGGAGAATTTTTTTATCCAAGTTGCCTAGTCTATGTTTCTGCCTCGTACACCTCACTCTTGGGAATGTTATGGCTGTGTTTCCCTCTACAAGGTCTCCTCAAGGGAGGTTTATTGATGCCAGTGAGAGGATCTTGATCCAAGGAATTGAATCTTGCCTGTCTTAATTTCAAACTGAATTGCTTCTCATTCCCCCAGGCACTCTATGAGCATCCCTGTAGGTTTAGCACTTCCCCCATGAATGTAATAATAATAATAGTTCTCAGCCTGGGATGTTATGTTGTATCTCTCACTCTAAGGGAAACTCCAATATTCTTTTTCTAGTTGGGGGTTTCAAGGACCACTGACAGTTTTCACCATACCTAACTTTCTTCCAATGTAAGGGAAAGTAGTATTGCCCAAGCTGGGAGATGAAAGGAAAGAGTTCAGGAATCTGCTTCCCACTAAAATAATGAAAAATTTGTAGTGGAAAAATGGAGCTGATAAATTGCCTCGGTCATTAATATGCCCAGCGGGCAGACTAACATGAGGACAAACATCCCAGAGAATAGGGGTAATTTGTCACTGATGATCAAGCATGAGTGAGATTGTTCACCACCAAGACTGGCACAGAAGTCCTCCCTACCAGTTGCTGTCTTATCAGCACAGCAGTAATATTTTGAAGTGAAGGTGTATTATTAACTTGCTGACTCTGGTCTTGGTTTGGCCAGAGCACATGGTGTAATACACTAATTACTTTTTCTTCTGCTAAACATTACATTATCAGCCCTTCATGTATAGATTATAAATAATAATAGTTAAACAGACAATTGTAGAGTAATATGTAACAATTTGCAATATCTCAATATCACTGGGAGCCAAAGCCAGAGTCAGCAACTTCCTCCAGATCTCCCAGAGTCTACCACAACTTTTATCTTATTATTTTTCTGTATGACCCTTATAGGTTTAGAACTTCTTTTCTCATTATAATAATAATATTTTTCTTGGTTATTTACTGTCTTTTGAAGTGCTTTTATCTTTTATTATGTTTGGTATAAGTATGTCGAGTTCCTAAATGTTTGATACAATTTGGTAAGGAAATGTGGCTTTTATTTTTATGATGATGACATATTGAGGGAGCCAATTATTGTTATTACATTCTTGGGGGAAAGCAATAAACCCATATGGGTCATACAATGCCTGTGAAAATGAGAGAGTCAGGCTTAATCCAAAGAAAAAATCAGGTCAAATTCCTTGGATCATGAGCCCCTAACATAGTTTAGCTTCTTGATCCCTTGCTCTGGTAAGGAGAGGAACAGAAGTGGATTCGAATAGGCTTGGGGAGAGAGAAGGAGGAGGAAGAAGATGGAAGGATAAGTAGCTCATCCACTTTGTTTTTTAAGTGATAATGAGTCCATACATTCATCATGTCAACATAATGAATGTATGGATTGCAGACTACATGGCCCAGCTCATGAGTGTCAGGATACGGGCAAGGATATACACACTGGTACCTCGGGATACGAACAGCTCAAAATACGAACAATTATGTAAGTGCATTTATGCAATTGCTTTTGTAACAGTATTTTTGGGGGTCTGAAACGGTAATCTAATTTACATTATTTCTTATGGGAACAAATTCATTCAGTATCAGCACTCGAACAGCCTTCTGGAATGAAATAAGTTCGTATCCCAAGGTACCACTGTACTTCATATTATACTGAGGATTGCTCAACCATTTACTCATTACTTCTAAATTAGGATGTTTAAATTTCATTGTACTAAATTGTAATACATCATATTGTAAATTGTTATAAACTAATTCAATAGTGTAATTATTCTCTACTGAACTTCTCTACTAGACTTATTAAAAGTCATATAGCATTACCTAATAATACTCATTTCTTTTGTACTTGCTGTAACTCATCCAGTGACCATATGAACTGTTATTGCCTTATTAATCTTAAGTTAATTTTAAGTTTGCCCAAAATGCTCTGCATACAAAGGGGCTTTTGGCATGTACACCCAACTATTATGTTCCTTTGTACAACCATGTATCATGTCAAAATAAATTTATTATTATTATTGTTATTATTATTATTATTATTATTATTATTATTATTATTATGCACACATGTGTAGGTAGTAGGTTGGTAGACAGCATCCACCCAGGGAGGTACTACCGTCCTACCAAGTGAGTGTGAAACAGAAACCTGTAATTGTTTTACATGATGGTAGGATTGCTGGTATCCCTTTTTTCTGTCTAATAAACATGCTGGATATTACAAACACTGATTTCTTATAAGAACATCTCCACTCAAGTAGAGTGTATTTTTACTTCATTAGCCTGATATTAGTGTAGTAACAAGACTTCAGGATACAAAATAATCACTAAAATTTATAATCTTTATTATAACAATATTTGATATAAAAACATAATCTTTGGTATAGATATATATACAGCAGACCGTCATTTAGCACGAGTTTATTTGGCACAATTTGGGTATAGCACGATTGAAGAATTGCAGCATAATTTTATGTAACACATCATAAGATGAATTTAACAAGGTTCAGTTTGCGCAAAGGAAGAAAAAACTTCCCTTTTCCTCAAGCGGCTGCCATGTTGTGGATCAGTGGGGGAGACCTCCCTCCATCCCCCCCCCCTGACACCATCCCACCATCCTAGCATTTGTACTTCATACCTGTCCAGTCCAACTTCTCTGCTACAAGCTTGTGATTGTGAATTGTGTTTTGATCTTTTAATTGCTATATCTTGTATCTGCCAAGCAATCATGACACCCAGTAGGCATACCAGTGTTGCTCATAGTGGCAAGAAAAGGTGTAAGCATTTAAGTCTTAGAATTAACAAAGGAAACAAAGATATTAGACAAGACATGTTTTTTTAATTACATTACCTAATAGAATACTCCATTCTATTGAATGCACAGCAACTCAGCAAATGACCATATGACCTGTCTTTGAAATACTCATTTGTGCTTAATTGTTATTTGTTTACTATAATTGCTTAGTTAATCTTAAGTTAATTTTTAAGGCTGCCCATAATGCTCTGCATACAAGGGGCTTTTGGCATGTACACTTAACCATTGTATTTCTTTGTACATCTATGTATCATGTTCAAATTAAAATAATAAATAAATAAAGACATAACCTGTGGCCATAATGAAGTGTTACTTTGTACACATAAAAAAGAGGTAAACATAAGTTTGTGTGACTGACTGACTTATTGAATGACTTGACTGACTTATTAAATGACTTGACTGACTTGAATATTAAAATGGTATAAAATACCGACAGGTTGTTAGGTAAGACACATATGCAACAGTTAGGTATCTTTATTTCGAAACGTTTCGCCTACACAGTAGGCTTCTTCAGTCGAGTACAGAAAAGTTGACAAAAGCATGTGTGTCTTACTTGACTGATTACGAATGATGAACTCTACTTGAACGTACTTGACTGACTTCTGATGACTTCGACGACTGAACGAATGACTTGAGACTTATTGAACGCTTGACTGATCTGAACGACTGAATGACTTATGAATCTTGACTGGCTACTGAATGCAACTTGACTACTTTACTGAATGACTTGACTGACTGATTGACTTAACTGACTTACTAAATGACTTGGCTGACTTACTGAATGACTTGACTGACTTACTGAATCACTTGAGACTTACTGAATCACTTGACTGACTTACTGAATCACATGACTTGACGGGAAACTTACTGAATAAGTACTTCACTGGCTTACTAAACGACTTGACTGACTTACTGAATGACTTGACTGACTTACTGAGTGACTTGACTGACTTGCTGAATCACTTGAGACTTACTGAATCACTTGACTTAGTGAATCACTTGAGTGACTTACAGAACAACTTGACTGACTTACTAAATCATTTGACTGAATCACTTGACTAACACTGAATCACTTGACTGACTTACTGAATGACTTAATACTTACTGAATCACTTAACTGACTTACTGAATGACTTGACTGATTTACTAAATGACTTGGCTGATTTACTGAATGATTTGACTGACACACTGAATGACTTGACTGACATACTGAATGACTTGACTGACTTACTGAACTTGACTGACTTGCTGAATCACTTGACTGACTTACTGAATCACTTGACTGACTTATTGAACGACTTGACTGACCTGTGCTTAGCTCAGTGAGGACGTGTCGAGTGTGCTCTCTATGGACTGAACCAAGATGCCCTCCATCGAGCAACTTTACCAACAACTTAAGGAAGAATTGAGGATGGCGAAGATGGAGATTCGGCGATTGATCGAGGAAAACAAGAAGATTCGTAGTAGTCTGTTTTGGTCTACAGGTCATAGAGGGAAACTGATCACGTGGCTGGACTTAGCATGGAACGATAGTATACGATCATAGACTGACTATGGAAGGTAGAACTTGATGATAAAAGAATGCTGTGGAAACTGTTTGGAACTCTAATGCATTCTCAGTGCACCCACTGAATGTGAGTCGACATACTGGAAGATCATGACTGAACACACCAAGGAAGGTAAGAATATTGTTGTAGTTGGATAGCAGTTAGGTTATGGATAGGGCATTCTGCTTGAGGACAGGAGTAGGAGACAGAGGGTTTGCTTCTCGGGTGGGATGGAGGTATTGTTAGCCGTCTGGACTGAATCCAGAGAGCTATGGGAGCAATCTATTATCTGTCTCACGTGCTGGAAGGCAATGATGGTGGCAGAAGTAGGAGTTGAGACCTGATTAGCAGGTATAGGTCAAAATAGAAAGATATGGAGAAGGGTGGGAACCATGTATATGTGAGTCCTTTGCCAGGAGAGGAGTTGGAAATGAATGGTTGTCCAGGGCAATTGGTGTCAATTGCTGGCTGGACAAATACTGTAAGAAAAATGCTGTAACATTCACTGACAACTGGGACCTCTTCTATGGCAGAAATGACATGTATGCCAAGGATGGGGTTCACTTATCTACGTCTGGGGTCA